ATCCGGATGCTCGCAGAGAACCTGGTGGTATACCTGGCTACGTCCAAAACGGACGTCATGGGTAAGGGCCGGGATGTGACGCTGGGTCCCCTGCCCGGGTCATCGCTGTGCCCAGTTGCGGCTGTGGCTCAGTTCTTGGAACTGAGACCGGCAGTCGGGGGGTCTTTATTGGTTCATGCCGATGGCTCCTCGCTCTCTCGTTTCCAATTTACTAAGGTGTTCCGATCGGGGCTGGGGGCGTTGGGGTTGAGTGCTGCTGCCTACGGGACGCATTCCTTTCGCATAGGGGCAGCCACTGAGGCCGCGCGCCTGGGCATGGGGGACGAGTTAGTCAAAAGGATTGGGAGATGGGAATCCGCTCGGTTCCGCACGTATGTGCGCTTGGGTTTGTTGGATCAGTGATGCGGGCTGTATCGGTCGGGGGGAGGGCCCCGGTATGGGTGTGGGTGTTTTACGTTGTTTCCCTTCTTCCCCAGGTTATGTCGCATGGATTGTGGGCCATTCCTTCATCGTTTGGGCCGGACGGAGAGCTGCAGCTCGAGCCCAGGGCCAACAGCTGGGCTTCCCGAAAGACCTCCTAACAGTGCGATGGTTGGGCTTTAAGGGATTTGGCTGGGGCGACGTGTGCGGGGTGATAATTCGGATGGTAGCAGGCGGGGCGAGGCCCGATATGCTAGTTCTGCACGCGGGGGGCAATGACCTGGGCCTCATTCCGCAACGTCGGTTGGTTAAATGGATGAAGCAGGACCTGAACAGGTTGTTCGATCTGCTTCCCGGGGTGATGCTGGTGTGGTCTGAGATCGTTCCGAGGCGTCGGTGGCGACACGCGAGGGACCCAGTGGCCATCGACAGATGCAGGGGAAAAGTTAACAGCTTGATGGCAAGCTTCGTGAGGAAATTGGGGGGCGTGGTAGTGAGGCACGTAGAATTGGAAGGCGGGCTGCCGGGTTATTACCACACAGACGGCGTCCATCTCTCAGCGGTGGGTCTGGATTTGCTGAACTTGGGTTTGCAGGAGGGGATGCAGAGGGCTCTCTTTCTTCGGGGTGGCGGAGCTCGGTCGGCTTGAGGGGTCAAGGTCCGAGCTTGTGGCGGGATAGAGAGCTAGGGAAGGCAAAATAGGCTCTCCATGAGGAACGTGAGGAACATGAAGAATTGTGGTCACTGGTGGATGGTGGGTTTCGAGTCCTGGAGGTGGCTCAGAACCTGGTGGGGTAGGGGTATCTGGGTATACCCCTACCGTGGTTACTTATGGTTGGCATTCAAATCGGTTCATGTTGGAGTAAGGTTAAAGCGTTATTTATATATATTTATGTGTTGCTTATGTTGGGTCATTGCCCTGATATTTAATGAAGGTATAGATGCGAGGGCGGAGGATGGGGGGCAATGACCCATGTTTTATATATATGTTAAATTATTAGTACCGTTTCTGTTTGTTAATAAAGCTGTGGACAATTTTTCCCATATACCTAGTGTCAGCATGTTATTGGGGATAGGTATGTGGGGTGGTTGTTGTCCAAGGTTCCGACTGCCCATATGGCGACTATACACCAGTCATGAAAAGTACGTAAACCTGAAGACGTGATTTGTGTCTGAAAGCACGTTTAACCCAAAGCATGGTAACCCTCTGCCTGCTTAAAGGAACTCTACCCATCTTCATGTAGTGGTTTTGGTTTTGTGCCCCTGCAGTCGGTCAATGTAATCAATGTTTAAACAATGTCAATGTTTCTCAGTCAAAGTGTTTCTACTGGCTGTCAATCCACCAAGAAGCTCTGCTTTAATTAACGTTTTCACGCTTGGTGTGTTCGCTCACAGCATGATAACACCGACAAAAATAATTCCAAACCTCCCAACAGGTCAACTGGACAAATAGGGACACTTTAATTTTAGGGACCTGAGTGGAGTTTGAGCAGAGGTGAGGCTGTTCTGAGTGTCAGTGGCGGTGTGGCCAGAGGTGTTGCTGTTCTGAGTGTGAGTGGGGGTGTCACCAGTGGTGTGGCTGTTCTATGTAGGGGTGTGGCTGTTGTGGGGGAGCTGGGTTGTTCTTGGTGTGTCGGGGTGTGGTCATGGGCAGGCTTGTTCTATGTGGGAGTTGGCCAGGGGTGGGGCTGGTGTTTGTGTGCGTGGGGGTGTTGCCAGGGGTGGGGCTGTTCTGGGTGTGAATCGGGGTTTCAGGTGCTGGGCTGTTCTTGGTGGAGGGGGCTAACCAGGGGTGGGGCTGTTCTGGTAAGGAGTGGGGTGGCCAGTGGGCCATTCTCGGTGAGGGGGGGGGGGTTGGCCAGAGGCAAGGCTGTTCTTGGTATGAGTAGGGCGGGGCTGTTCTTGGTATGAGTGGGGGGTGCCTAGGTGCTGGGCTGTTCTTGGTTTGCATGGGGATGTTGCCATTGGCAGGGCTGTTCTTGGTGTGACTGGAGGGGTTGGCCAGGGGCGGCAGGAGGGGGGCTGTTCTGTGGTGTTGAGAGGGGGCTGGCCAGAGGTCGGCTGTTCTTGGTGTTAGTGGAGGGGTTGGCCAGTGGCGGGCTGAGGTGGCTGTTCTTGGGTGAGGGAGGGTTGGCCAGGGGCAGGCTGTCTTGGTGTGGTGGGAGGGTGGCCAAGCAGGGCTGTTCTTGGTGTGACCAGGGGCTGGGCTGTTCAGGGCTGGGCCAGGGGGGGCTGTTCTTTGTGGTGGAGGGGGTGGCTGTGGGGCTGGGGTGTGAGTGGGGGGGCTGGCCAGCTGGGCTGTGGTGGAGGGGTTGTCCAGGGGCGTGGCTGTTCTTGGTGAGTGAGTGGGTGAGGGGGCCAGGGGCGGGGCTGTTTTGTGGAGGGTGGGGGATTAGCCAGAGGCGGGCTGTTCTTGTGAGGGGAGGGGTTGGGCCAGGGCGGGGCTGTTCTTGGTGGAGCGGGAGGGTGTCCAGGGGCGGGGCTGTTCTTGGTGTGAGTGGAGGGGTTGTCCAGGGGGCTGGGCTGTTCTGTGGGGGCTGGCAGAGGCGGGCTGTTCTTGTGAGTGGAGGCTGGCCAGGGGCTGGCTGTTCTGGTGTGAGTTGGCTGTGGTGTGAGTGAGGGTTGGCCAGGGGCTGGGGGGCGGGCCGGTTTTGTGTGAGTGGAGGGGTGTCCAGGGGGGCTGTTTTGGTGTGAGTGGGGGGGCCGGGCCAGAGGCGGGCTGTTTTTGGTGTGAGTGGGGGGTTGGGCCAGAGGCGGGCTGTTCTTGGTGTGAGTGGAGGGGCTGTCCAGGGGCGGGCTGCTCTTGGTGGAGTGGAGGGTTGGCCAGTGGCGGGGCTGTTTTGGAGTGAGTGGGGGGATTGGCCAGAGGCGGGGCTGTTCTGTGTGAGTGGAGGGGCTGTCCAGGGGCGGGCTGTTTGGTGTGAGTGGAGGGGTTGTCCAGGGGCGGGCTGTTCTGTGTGAGTGGGGGGGTTGGCCAGAGGTGGCTGTTTGGTGTGAGTGGAGGGGTTGTTCTGAGTGAGGGGAGGGCCAGAGGCTGGCTGTTCTTGGTGTGAGTGGAGGGGTGGAGGGGCTGTCCAGGGGCTGGGCTAGTTTGGTGTGAGTGGAGGGGTTGTCCAGGGGCGGGCTGTTCTTGGTGTGGAGTGGGCTGGTGGGGGGCTGGGCTGTTCTGGTGTGAGTGTGAGGGGTTGGCGGGCTGTTCTTGGTGTGGTGTGGAGTGTGGGAGGGGCTGGCCAGGGCCTGGCGGGCGGGCTGCTCTTGGTGTGAGTGGGGGGCTGGCCGGGCGGGCTGTTCTTGGTGTGAGTGGAGGGGTTGGCCAGGGGCGGGGCTGTTCTTGGTGTGAGTGGAGGGGTTGTCCAGGGGTGGGGCTTTTCTTGGTGTGAGTGGAGGGGTTGGCCAAGGGCAGGGCTGTTCTTGGTGTGAGTGGAGGGGTTGGCCAGGGGCGGGACTGTTCTTGGTGTGAGTGGAGGGGTTGGCCAGGGGCGGGGCTGTTCTTGGTGTGAGTGGGGGTTTGGCCAGTGGTGGGGCTGTTCTGAGAATTTTAGGTGACTTACTAATAACTATATAACTAAAATGTAATTTAGAACAATAACAATGTATCGTATTTACACAAACTAATCTCTGTACACATTTATTATAGTTTAACCCTTTAACGTCGTTATGGTGAGCAATACTGCCCTGCAGGTAGTGGCAGCCTCAAACGCCATTAAGGGGGCACAGCACCGTTTTAGCTTTTCCTTTTCCAAACTGCACAGGCTGTCAGCACGGTCGCTGCTACAATGTCTCAGCCAATGATTTGTAACATTGACTGAGACATTGTCTCTACCTCTGTCTTCTCCTCACTTAGATCTGAAGTGAGGGACTCCACAAGATCATTGTTAAACTGCGCTAAAAGGTCAAAAAGTGTTGGAAAATTAGAAACTTATTTCTAACCCTTTCAGTGGTGATTACAGCATTGACAATGTGATCAATCTGATAAGGCTGTTAAGTACCTTGGTATTATTCATATTTTTCTTTATGGTCACATTTTTTAAAATCAGGATTACGAAATTTCCTGTGAAAAAGGATTTCATGTGTGTGAAAAAAACCACAAAAGAAACCATGACCACTGAATGGGGCCAGCATTTGTGATAAAGTGGCTGGACCAAACATCTAAAAATACGCCCCTTGGGTTACTCTGGAATGCCATCACCCAGGGTGCCATACTCTGTAAAAGGCAACAGAAAATCACCCACTCAAATTTCCAGATATGAAGACTGAAATGTCTATGTTTGACCTGTAACCTTCCAAAACCCCATAAAGCCCATACATGGGGTACAGCTGGATTTGTGAGACATTGCTAAACACAATTATGTGTTTGTTTGTTTTTTTTAGTAAAAGCTACGTTTTATGACATGCATTGTTAAAAGGCCACGCAAAATAATCTTAATCGCTCACATATTGTTTAAGATTTTATTCATAATAAATTATGTTTCATATATAAATATTTCATGTTGTGATCCTTGTCTGCAGGTAGCACGGTCCTCTAAGGTAAACAACAGGCACAGTCCTTTATTTGCATATAATCCAGGCACTTTATTTGTAAATCCACACAGGAGAGAGCAGCAAATGAAAACATAAATATAACACAAATCCCTATAAACAAAAACCTAGCTCGTCTGAGCACTTACTAACATCAGGTTCCCTATCTCTCAGGGGTTAAACTAAAACGAAACAATATTTGTTTCACCAACCTAGTGTTTTTGTCAGCTCTCTGCACTCCAGTGCTTATTCAGCCTGTGGCTTTCCTTTCTACACTCCCAGTGCTCCAAGCCAGCCTTAACTGCTTTCCTTTCTACACTCCCAGTGCTCCAAGCCAGCCTTAACTGCTTTCCTTTCTACACTCCCAGTGCTCCAAGCCAGCCTTAACTGCTTTCCTTTTGCACTCCCAGTGCTCAGTCTCCTTGATTCTCACTGGAGAGAACAGTCTTATCAACTGCTTCCAGGAAGGAAGCCAGCAATCCCCTTTTACCTGCCCAGCAGGGAAGGGTTTATTCCCACTGCTATAGCTGATTATCTGCAGTGGGTTGGAGACGGTTCCAAAAAACTCTGGCCTGGACATTATTTCTCCCGGTTGTGTAAAAACTGAGGAGTGGAGCATTGGCCCACCCTGCTCTCCAAATGCTCCACCCCAGGGGCTCATAACTAAACGTGGCTTTGTGTTGCACACCACACATACAACACATACTTCCCCTGGGGTTAAATGTTATAGGCCTATCTGCCTTCACTTTATCACAATGTGAATTGTAAGCTCTTTTTCTCCTGAACAAAATGATATATAATAAAAAAGAGGGAGATTATGGTTGAACAGACATATAGTATTACTCAAATTCTTGTTTTTGTTTTGGTTCAGAGCTTGTTCAATTGCCTCTGCCCTTAAAGACACATTACTGGGAGGATTATTATTGTGGAGCTCTGTTACACACTCAGACACATTACTGGGAGTATTATTGCTGTGGAGCTCTGTTATACACTCAGACACATTACTGGGAGTATTATTGCGGTGGAGCTCTGTTATACACTCAGACACATTACTGGGAGTATTATTGCTGTGGAGCTCTGTTATACACTCAGGTACGCCAACAATATGGAGCTCCTAGAAAAGAAGAGACAGAGGGGTTTGGGTCTAAAATAGAGACTGTCTCTCCTAACTAGAGCCACTTGGGAGCTATTGAATGAGAAAACCACACAGCTGTGCCTGTTGAGGGGGACTCAGGTAAGTGTCATCCCATACCATGCAGTCATGCCATGGGATGGTATCAGGGGATTCCTGGCACCATAACCACTGCAGCAGTTATAGAGTTTCCCATTTTAGATCTCCCACCCTCCCCCAATGTGCAGAATCCATGAGAAGTCATGAAATCTCCCAATCTCAGTCCACCTGCTGCAAATTGGCAAAATCCACTGGAAATAGGAATTCATATTTTTAACCCATTCAGTACCGAGGGCTGTGTCCTGGCAATGCCATCTCATGGAGGGGTTAATGCATTCCCTGCATGGCTGGGTGTGAAGGGAGTTGTAGTCCTGACGCTGCCTATATCTGTTATATATTGCAGGCAGCCGGCCGTGTGCTGTATCCCAAGGTTAGGACTGAGCTGCCATGTATGTGACTGGGACAGCCTGGGCTGGGGGCAATGGGCACTGACACACATCACCCAGGAAGTGAAGCCCAGACAGGGGCTTAGGGAGGGCAAGGATAGTGGGCACAGGGAATGGGGGGCAGTGTGACAGGGGATAGTGGGCACAGGGAATGGGGGGCAGTGTAGCAGTGACAGGGGATAGTGGGCCCAGTGTCACAGGGGGCACAATGTGACATGGGGGATAGTGGGCCCAGTGTCACAGGGGGCACAATGTGACATAGGATAGAGGCACAGGAAGTGGGGATAGGGGCACAGTGTGAGGGACTACAGAGAGCGCACATTGTGACAGGGATGAGGGACAGAGGATAGGGGGGCACAGTGTGGCGGGGATAGGGACAGAGGGGATAGGGGGCACAGGCCTTGACAGCAGGGATAGAGGGGCACAGTGTCCGCGGGGGATAGAGGGCACAGTGTGACAGGGGATATAGGGGGCACAGTGTGACAGCAGGGGCATAGAGCTGGGTGTGACAGGGGCACAGTGTGACAGGGATAGAGGGCACAGTGTGACAGGGATAGAGAGCACAATAGCCGACAGGGGGATAGAGGGGGCACAGTGTGACAGGAGGATAGGGGCACAGTGTAGCGGGGATGAGGGGCACAGTGTGGCCGAGGGGGATAGAGGCACAGTGTGACAGGGATGGGGGCACAGTGTGCAGGATAGAGGCACAGTGTGACAGGATGGGGGCACAGGCAGCAGGGATAGGGGGCACAGTAGCTGGGGATAGGGGAGCACAGTGTGACTGGGGATGGGGGCACAGTGTGGCGGGGGACCCAGGGGCACAGTAGTGTGACAGGGGGATGGGGGGCACAGTGTGACAGGGGGATGAGGGGCACAGTGTGACGGGGATGGGGGGCACAATGCTTGACAGGGATGAGAGGCACAGTGTGACAGGGGGATAGGGGCACAGGTGTGACAGGAGGGATAGGGGCACAGTGTGGCCAGGGGATTAGAGAGGACAGAGGGGATAGAAGGCACAGTGTGACAGAGAGGATAAGGGGCACAGTGTGACAGGGGATGGGGAGCACGAGGTGGCGGCAGGAGGGATGGGGGGCACAGTGTGACAGGGGGGATGGGGGGCACAGTGTGACAGGGGGGATGGGGGGCACAGTGTGACAGGAGACAGGCTGGTAAACACAGAGTTAACAGGCTGCACGCTCATGACGTCACGGGGTGGGGCCAGAAGCAGGAAGTAAAAACTCCCAGCTTCTCATTCAGGAAAACACTGGAAAGCAGAGAGCAGCATGGACAGAGACATGGAGACATCAGGTAACCATGGTAACCAGGGGACATAGAGCCAGCAGGTAACCAGGGGACACAGAGCCAGCAGGTAACCAGGGGAGACAGAGCCCCCAGGTAACCAGGGGAGACAGAGCCCCCAGGTAACCAGGGTGACAGAGCCAGCAGGTAACCAGGGGCGACAGAGCCAGCAGGTAACCAGGGGAGACAGAGCCAGCAGGTAACCAGGGGAGACAGAGCCAGCAGGTAACCAGGGGAGACAGAGCCTGCAGGTAACCAGGGGAGACAGAGCCAGCAGGTAACCAGGGGAGACAGAGCCTGCAGGTAACCAGGGGAGACAGAGCCCCCAGGTAACCAGGGTGACAGAGCCCCCAGGTAACAGAGACAGAGCCTGCAGGTAACCAGGGAGACAGAGCCACAGGTAACCAGGGAGACAGAGCCAGCAGTAGCCAGGGGGCAGGCCAACAGGAGACAGAGCCAGCAGAGTAGCCAGGAAATTAGAGCCCAGCAGGTAACCAGAGACAGAGCCAGCGGTGGCAGGGAGACAGAGCCTGAGGCTAGCAGAGACAGAGCCCCAGAGTAGCCAGGAGTGACAGAGCCCAGGTAGCCAGAGGCAGAGCCAACAGGCAGCAGGAGGCAAACACACAGGCCAGCAGAGACAGAGCCAGCAGTAGCAGGAGGCCAAACAGAGTAACAGAGCAAGAGCAGCAGGCAGCAGAGAGGCAAACACAGGTAACAGGAGACTGAAGCCTACAGTAACCAGGGGAGACAGAGCCAGCAGGTAACCAGGGGAGACAGAGCCTGCAGGTAACCAGGGGAGACAGAGCCCCCAGGTAACCAGGGAGACAGAGCCCCCAGGTAACCAGGGGAGACAGAGCCAGCAGGTAACCAGGGGAGACAGAGCCTGCAGGTAACCAGGGGAGACAGAGCCTGCAGGTAACCAGGGGAGACAGAGCCCCCAGGTAACCAGGGAGACAGAGCCCCCAGGTAACCAGGGGAGACAGAGCCAGCAGGTAACCAGGGGAGACAGAGCCTGCAGGTAACCAGGGGAGACAGAGCCAGCAGGTAACCAGGGGAGACAGAGCCCCCAGGTAACCAGGGGAGACAGAGCCCCCAGGTAACCAGGGGAGACAGAGCCAGCAGGTAACCAGGGGAGACAGAGCCCAGGTAACCAGGGGAGACAGAGCCAGCAGGTAACCAGGGGAGACAGAGCCCGCAGGTAACAGGGGAGACAGAGCCCCCAGGTAACAGGGGAGACAGAGCCAGAGGTAACGAGGGGAGACAGAGCCCGCAGGTAACGAGGGGAGACAGAGCCCGCAGGTAACGAGGGGAGACAGAGCCCGCAGGTAACGAGGGGAGCCAGAGCCAGCAGGTAACGAGGGGAGACAGAGCCAGCAGGTAACGAGGGGAGACAGAGCCAGCAGGTAACCAGGGGAGACAGAGCCCCCAGGTAACGAGGGGAGACAGAGCCAGCAGGTAACCAGTGGACATAGAGCCAGCAAGTACCTTGGGGGCAGGAGATTAGTTTGACAGGGAACAGAGACACCAGGCTACTGGATGGGTGACAGACACAGGGGTACAGGTAGGACAGAGACTGGGGGTTGCCATGGGGTCCACAGAGGTATAAATATGGGGATGCATGTAAGCAGTGGGTTTCTTTTGAGGGGAATAGATGCAATGGGTAACCCAGGGTGAGGGTGGAGAGACAAAGAGAAAGTTTGGGTATAACGGACATGGTCAGAGAGTATCCCAGGGGAAGGGATGAGAGAGATGAAGTGTACCCACTGGGGGAGAGAGGCAAGGGAGGAGCAAGGCAGGGGGTAGTAGTAGGGAAGGGGGTAGCACTAGGGTAGGGGGGCAGAGAATCCGGGGGTTGCATAAGGACAGGGCAGAGAGTCCGGGGGTTGCATTAGGGCAGGGGGTAGCACTCTGGCAGAGAGGCCGGGTGTTTCTGGGGGGCAGAGAGACCCGAGGTAGGCTTGGGGCAGGCGGGGCTGAGTTTATGAGTAGACAATAAGGTGTCTCTTTAAGACCTTATCTCAGTGTCTTTGTCCATCAGCTCAAGGAACAAGGCTGTTTGTTTGTTTTGAGTGACTGTGATGTTCAAAGCTTTATATTACTTGGATATTTTGGATCCTAAGGGGGACATGCAGAGGCTTGGGGGGTTTCCTGACGTAAATGTCCTTCTCCGTCCATTCATGCTGAACAAGTTTTTTGAGTCAAAGTGAACCTATATTGTATAAATGGTGGTTTCTGTTTGCACAAAGCCCGTATAATATAGTGTTCACAAAACTATTCACTGAACTGGATGGAACTGAAATTCAAATGGGGAAAAATTGTATCTAGAAAAACAATCTCCAATCTAGCACTAGTGGCAGCTTGATTATTTTTGCCTCAATTTTGCAATCTGGGCTTTGAGTACAATTCAGAGTGTTGTGAATATCCCTTTTCTAGTTTTACATTATTGTCTGTCTATAGAACATTATCTTAATGATTTCTCCGCCTGCACCTCCCTCCCCACTCCTTGTGAATACAATTATTTCACACAGTCCTTAAACCACAGTGGAGAGTATTGAGTGTCGACTGACCCGAAGTGATCCTGGAAGTATACTGAAGCCAGGAATACAGTATAGCTGGATGTGATATGATGTATTAAGAGGTAGTTCTTCTAGAGACCGACTGGCTCTGTATATATATTGCAAATCACAGTATTGTTTCTTTAAACTATAGTAATAAGAGAAATATTAATCCTTACTGCAATTTACTCTTCCTGGCTATTATCTATTACAGTAAATAAATGTTGGATTCACCCAACTACACACAGTAGGTAGATATAAATATCATAATAATAATAATCAGGAAAAAGGGCAAATTGGTAAATTTTCCATAAGTTGTTTTTCTCTTCTATATTGTAACCCTGCAGAAACTGACACGCTTGTGTGTGGCGTGGCGCACTTTATGCCTTCTCTTTTTGTCACTTCTAGGCTGTGTCTGTAAGAAAACGCAATTGTGATAAACATGGCAGGAGGCAGGGGACTCATCGAGACCGTCCACGTATAGTAAGAATCTGAGCGAAAATGGGCGGAAAAGCGAAGAGGAAGTCGCGGTCTGAGAGTGAGCATGAGGATGGCCTGTGCTGCTGCGAGTATATCAACCAGAATGGGCAGCGGAGCCACCTGGCAGCCTGTCTGTGTGACTGCGCCGATCTGGACCAAGCCTGTGACGGGTAAGTCAGCATTGTGGAAAATGAGTAGGCAGCCGTGTGACTTCGCAGGGAATCCTGGGAATTTTCTTTTTCTTCCTTTTGTTTATCCATTTAGTATTTGTAGAATATTCTATGTGACTCCCATTCTGTTGTTTACAGATGGATTACGTGCAAGCCCTCAGAGCCGCAGGTCTGGGCCCGTGCTGTGGAGACGGCAGCGGACCGTTTCCGAGTTCCGTGGATCCGTGGGGCCAAGAAGGTTGACGTGAGCCTTATTCCCCCGCTGCTCCTGCTACCGATCTGCCTGCACATTGCCGCACTCCATGTTCTGCTGGCTGTGGTTATCCTGACCTCCCTCCCGGTGCTGGTGATATGGTATTACCACCTCACTCACCAGCGTAAGGGCAAGACCCTTCTGTTCTTGAGCCTGGCCTTGTTCTCTCTGGGATACATGTATTACACGTTTGTGCAGGAGATGTTTTATAAAAGTAACATTGGATGGGGCCATTTCTCCGTGGTTAGCTGCGGCTTGCTGCTGACCATTCTATTTCTAGTTAAAGCGAAACAAGACCCTGGCTACCTCATTAGAAGTGAAAAGACCACTTCAATAAAGCCTGAGGCTAGCCATGAACTGGCCAACGGCTTCCGGACAGTTAGAAGCGCGAGTTCGAAGGAAGGCATTGCTCTGTTATATGGGGAGAGTCAAATCCCAGAGAAGAACTGGTGTAACATCTGCCAGCTCGTAAAACCCCCACGCAGCGGCCATTGCAGGATCTGCGGGGCGTGCGTTCGCCGGATGGATCATCACTGTGTGTGGTAGGTCCTCGCCAGTAAAGCTTTCAAAGAAAAAGAAAGGGATTTTCAGACTTGTTTCTTTTTAAATGGTTCAGCAATTTATGTTCCTTTTTAGTAAACCATTTGTAGCTAGGTATCCTGTATCTTGCATTTAGAAACTACTATTCCCAGCATGCATTTGACTTTAACCAGTTGTTTACCCTTGGAGCATTGGATGGCCTGTATGATGAGAACGGCCTCTCTCTGTGCTCAGACATAGTGATTATAAACTATCTGTCATGGGTGTCTAAGCCATTCTACACGGGCCGTAATATCTGTATAACTCAAGGGACACTTCCATCCCCCTCTCCATGAATGCATTGACTGGGTTTCTTACTGCTGGGCTGTTTTGATTGGCCGGGAGAGAGGCCCCTTTTAAAGGCCAGTCTGGCAGGCTGACTAAATTAAGAGGGATACCAGCCCACCAAATGAGGTAACACACACCTGAGCAAGTCTGGCTGATATTGACCATAACAGAGGGTACATCAGTTGGATCCACACACAACCATACAACACAAACTACAGCTTTGCAAACAGCCACTTTATGAATTAAAAAAAGCCTTGTCTTCTCTATGTTGCAGGATTAATAATTGCATCGGGGAACGGAATCACAAGTTCTTCATCCTGCTTCTCATCCTGTTTCAGTTCACTTCCATATACGGCATCACAGTGACACTGAGAATAATCTGCAGGGGTCAAAGTATTTTCACTGCCCTGTTATACTGCCCAGGGGTGTATGCGGAATACAGGTAAGAAGGTGTCTAATATGGGAGACTGTGTGTGCGTAATACAGGTAAGGGCTACACTGTACTGTACATAGTTTACTTGGGAAATGGGCTAAGCACTGTGGCATGCAGAGTACAGGTAGCAGGGGAGCTGGAATGTGGCCTGCAGTGTATGGAGAATACAGGTAAGGGGGAGGAGCCAAAACATATTGCATGCGGGGGAAGGGGGAGGAGTTAGAACATATTGCATGCAGTGTATGCAGAATATAGTCAGGGAGGAGTTAAAAATAGCATGCAGAATAAAGGCAAGGAGGAGCTAAAACATATTGCATGCAAAATATAGGCAGGGAGGAGTTAGCACACAGAATGCAGGCAAGGCAGAGTAGCTGCACTGTATGCAGACTACAGGTAAGAGGGTAGGCACTTGGATACAGCATGCAGTATATACAATATAAAGGTGCAGGAGAGCTAGTGTACTGCAAACAAAATTACTAAGTGGCAGGACTTCATCTATGCAGAATACAGATAATGGCAGGAGATGGGGTAGTACGCACAGTGTATGCAGAATACAGATAATGGCAGGAGATGGGGTAGTACGCACAGCGTATGCAGAATACAGATAATGGCAGGAGATGGGGTAGTACGCACATTGTATGCAGAATACAGATAATGGCAGGAGATGGGGTAGGACGCACATTGTATGCAGAATACAGATAATGGCAGGAGATGGGGTAGTACGCGCAGCGTATGCAGAATACAGATAATGGCAGGAGATGGGGTAGTACACGCAGCGTATGCAGAATACAGATAATGGCAGGAGATGGGGTAGTACGCGCAGCGTATGCAGAATACAGATAATGGCAGGAGATGGGGTAGTACGCGCAGCGTATGCAGAATACAGATAATGGCAGGAGATGGGGTAGTACGCGCAGCGTATGCAGAATACAGATAATGGCAGGAGATGGGGTAGTACGCGCAGTGTATGCAGAATACAGATAATGGCAGGAGATGGGGTAGTACGCACAGCGTATGCAGAATACAGATAATGGCAGGAGATGGGGTAGTACGCACAGTGTATGCAGCTTACAACTGTGGGGAAAGGACTAAACCTATTTCAATATAAGTGCAGGTAAGCAGGGAGATATCACAAACATTTGCTGCACTGGGCGTTTATAAAATAGATTCTGCTGTTGGTCCCATTCCTTTATTTTGACTGGTCAGTTTATAATTTCTGCCTGTATGCTTCCACCCAGCTCTTCTTTTGCCTTCACCTGTGTGTGGTACTGTACCATCGTCACGGCTGGCATGGCCTACGTTCTGCTTATTCAGCTATTAAACATCAGCTACAACATCACAGAGAGGGAGGCCCGCATTGCCCTGCGGGAGAAGACTGGGAGGTGGATATTGGGAGGGCTGGTGGTATATACAGGAAGATACAATCATGGATTCTTTCAGAACTGGCTGCACTTCCTGTCGCTTGAGTCTCACACTGCGCGGTACTACGTGACAGACATTGTATAGAGCGTGAATCACATTATCATAACAGAATCAGAGTGCCTTATTCACATTGGAGGAGGCGACAAAACCTTCTGTGTCTTAGACCGTTATACTGCACACTGTATAAATAACCAGGTTTGTAATTTTTATTAAAACTTTATACTAATGATTTTCATTGACTATTTGAGTTAAAGCTGATCACTTTGTGTGAAGCTCTGGAGATGTAGATTGGATCAGTTTTATTGCTCTAGAGACCTTTCTGTTGCTGAAAGAGGGGGGGGGGGGAGGAGGGTAGTATTTGAGGTTTTGTTTTTAACCAATTCCTGCTGAGAACTGCCAATCTTCGCATAAGAAAAGGAGTGAAATGTGTTTCTTCAAACTGACTACATTTTACATTAGTTTTTTTCACTTGCAAAGATTTTGCGGCCATTTTTTTTTTTTTTTTTTTTTTAAGCAAACAGCCATACTAATTGGACTGAAAACCCCAGGCTTCATCCATTTGGGCTATTTTGACATGAAATGTATACTGTGCTTTGCATTCCTGTAAACTCGCACATGAGTGAATAACTGTGTGACACTGTTCACTAGAATCTTTCTCGGGGACAGGAGAAGGGCATTTGGCCCCCCAGGTAGGATCCTACAGTTGAATGGAGGTAAACCATGCTTGGGGGGTAAAGTCAAGATTATGCATAATGTCGTGTCAAGGACGGTAAAAAGACAAGCTGTATAATGGCATATGGTGGCTCTGGTAAATATCACAATAGTGCAAGGAGACCCCAGAACTGTGCTGCACATTGTTCTCAGAAATCCTTGGGTTCAAGTCTAGTTATCCCTGTCCTGGGAAGTGAAACCCACTATGCTGATAGCCAGGGACAACTGTGACCATGAGGAGAGAGGTACGGTGATCATTTGCTGCTGTGTTCGACGTTACTATGCCATGAGCCATATAGTAAATAGAGGCATTCAGAAACGAGAGATAATGTGGGATTGCAGGGTGGTGACCAAAAGTTTGATTTATATTTTCCATCCTAGAATTCGTGAAAACTCAGACTGTGTGTGTGCGTCTATCTTAATATATGAGCTCCGCCTGATACCCTCCTTGCCACATCTCATTCTATGTGTTTCATTTGCTACTTTCACCACATCTTCCATTTAATTTGCAATTTAATCCCATATGAATTTTCAACTAATTTGCACAATTTCATCCCACAAATTCAAAATGACCAGATGTGCCAAATTTAATCCAATGTTTAAAATTCTCCCCATTTACGCCATACATCCCATGTTATATTCATCTCCCTACCCGTCCCCCACCACCCCAAGTTATATTCATCTCCCTACCCGTCCCCCACCACCCCAAAATTAAAGACATAAATTCTCTTTCACAGCCAGACTCCTTCCCAGGTTATACTCCCCAGTCCTGCTAAACACCACTTGGTGCAATGAGTGGTTCTGTATGGAGCTAGATTGCTGCCCATTGTACCGTATAATTTAGAGTACATCGTATCTAGCAGGTAAAATAGATTGTTATTGGTACAATTTGTATGTTATTAATTTATATAAATTTAGATATATAGTAGGTGTAGAGTAAGAGTTTGCAGGACACGTCATATGAGATGAGGTCAGTGTAAAATAGATTGGGGTGTACAATTATTAGACATGACATGTATATTGGGGTACAGTTATAGAGAGAGATTTGTGGATGGGAACATAGCAACAACAAAAATAAAAGGTTAATATAGGTTAATATAGCTTGTATTTGAGAATAGTATGTATAATGCATACAGGTCACTGAGCTGCTACTACTAAGCATTAAATACAGACCTGCTTCTCATAAATAAAGGCATAATTTATTTATTTATAAAATATTTTACCAGGAAAGATACATTGAGATTTCTCTCGTTTACAAGTATGTCCTGGGTCCACAAATCATTGCATTGTTACAATAGGATACAATAAAATACAAAAACAATATTAATACACAATAAATACAAAATTTAACATAGAACAGGTAGGAAATATATAATCAACCATGACAGGTGCATTCTGTTTTGAGGTATGCAGAGAGGGATCTCTTAAAGGACTTTAGGCTTAGGGAAGATTTTAAATTGTGCGGGAGGTCGCACAATGCTACATTTCAGCTAGGAGAGCCCTCTTCTCACACCTGTGACAGGATGCCGTGTGGTACCAAGGGGTCTAGGTCTGGACCCAGCACAGGCAGCATGAAATGGGGACTGTAATGTCTTGTGAATATACCGGCAAGTCACTAATCCAATCCTGAAACCCAGACACTGACCGCGACACGGCCAGCTGGAAACCCTGATCTATGAAATCTGAGTTTGCATTTATGCTGCATTGTGTCTCTTCCTGTCACATGTTGTGTATATAGAAACTGCTAAATTGTCCTCGGCCAATAAGATCACTTCACTTGATGAAGAACCACTGAGAGCCAAAACGTTGCCTAGCTGGTGCTTTGTGCTAGCGTAATAAAATCAAATTATCAATCAAATTATTTGTGCAATATTAATTTATATATTTTTTTTTTATTTGGTTTGCGCTATATGAACAATTCCTTGTACTAACGCCTCTTGTTGAAAGGAAAGTCTGTTCTGGGCTTAAATATTTAATGCCGTATTGGAGTATACTGCAGTTAAATGAGATCTAATGCTTCCATAATGTGCAGGCTCTAAGGACTTATTAATCCTTGACTTCCCTTAAACGTGGCATGTTTCTGGTTTGTCTGATTTGCACTCCATTTAAGACCTTCATAGGAAAATGTACCCTGTTCTATCCCAGAATCATAAATACACAATACATTTACAAACCACTTTCATTGGGAATATGTGGCCTTTCTAAGGCTTGGCAGCAGGTGATGCAATTACAGTCCAGGAATCTGTGTGAGTTGAATGCAGGTAGATTGGCTCCTGGGTCTCTGCTGGAGGTCCTACCTGCACAAACAGCACTAAAAGTAGGATAGTCCGCATCTTTCCTGGCACTGAACTCAAATAGATGGTTTTATGGTTAGAAAGACCAACTTTCTGTGTTTAGTGTCTGAACAGATATAGATATAGATAAACTGACAGTAGGATCTCCAGCAGAGCCATGGACACGGTCTTTCTGAATTCAGTGTGTGATTGTAGGAGTTGTGAAAACAAGGCAGAAAGGGGAAGCGTGATTGTGTGTCTGTATGTATGTTCAAAGGGGGCAATACTGGAAAAAACATGCAATACAACAGTATTTATATGGGCAATACACAGGGTGACGATGACTAGATATGGGACAATATCATACATAAGGGTTCTTAATGCTTCGAGGGATTATATGTGAGAGAATTACAGCATTCGTGGACAATGTGTCACATATTCAGAAACTTTACTTATAGGGACACTAGTCACTAAAACACCTTTAGCTTAATCAAGTAGTTATGGTGAATTTATCATGTCCCTGCAGGGTCACTGCTCAATTCTCTGCCATTTACGAGTAGATCACTTTGTTTATACAGCCCTAGCCACACCTCCCTGCATGTGACTTGTTCAGCCTGCCTAACTACTTCCTGTAAAGAGTCATCTAATGTTTACACTTTACAGATTCTGTTTTATTTAGGATTTCTTTTCTCCTGCTCTGTTAATAGCTTGCTAGATACTGCAGAAGCCTCCTGTATGTAATGAAAGTTCAATTTAAAGAGCAGCAGATAAAAATGTTTGTTACATCTGCTTAAAAATTAAACCATTTTGTTTTTTCATGCAGGCTGTGTGAATCACAGCCAGGGGAGGTGTGGCTAGGGCTGCATAAACAGAAACAAAGTGATTTAACTCCTAAATGGCAGAGAATTGAGCAGTGAGACTGCAGGGACATTATCTATACACCAAAGCTGCTTTATTGCTAAGGTTTTGGGGACTATAGTGTCCCTTTAAAGTACTATGCTAATCTATTTTATTGATTCACTATAAAAAGAGCACACATCAGGGTCTATTTATGGTGAATTAATTTAATATTCACCGCACTTTTGTTGATCAGCGTAAAGTATTCATCAGCCGAAATCTATCAACAAAAAATATAGTTGCCTGTGCACAATCCCAAATTCCTGTACACATTTAAAGAACACATGGTTTTAGTATCACGGCAATAGTAATTAAATTGCCACCAAAATACCCCCTGCCGCTTCTTAGTGGCCACCATTTCCCAAGCATTGTCCTCGCTTTCTCGTTCTGCCATTTTCCATGAAGTCAAATTGGTCCAACCCTTACGATTAGCTGTGATTTCTTGCTCAGTAGGGATTTCCTGCGGATTAGTGTTATCCTGCATACTAGGGATTTCCTGCGCAGTAGTGATATCCTGCACATTAGTAATATCTTGCGGATTAGTGATATCATGCACACTAGTAATATTCTGTGGATTAGTGATAACCTGCACAATAGTGATTTCTTGCTCAGTAGTTACATCCTACACACTAGTAATTATTTGCTCAGTAGTTACATCCTACACACTAGTAATTATTTGCTCAGTAGTGATATCCTGCACACTAGTAATTTCTTGCTCAGTAGTGATATCCTGCACAGTAGTAAATTTTTATAGACCCCAGTCTGTACCAAGCTGTGCACTTGCTGACTTGGCTTTGAAATCTTGCAAGATATATTTACAGGAGATATATTTTTAGTCTACATTGGATTCATTTTTGCAGATACCCGCTACCAATCTATATTAGGATTCTGGCAGGCGGCGTATCCGGGACAGAAATTCTATTCCCCTGAACATGAAACCGATACTCAGCCATCTGTATCCCATCCCTTGTTACTGATAACATGACCGGATTCACAACGGCAGTTATGGTGACTGGGAAAATGCTGGTGCACATATTGTTTGATACAAAATAAGATCCGTACGATACAGGGGTACTGGGAAAATGCTCCTCTGTTCTATTCCTGTGGAGCTCTGTGATACAATCATACCCCTGCATATTACTGAGAACTCTGTGATACACTCATACGCACTGCATATTACTGAGAGTTTTATTACTGAGAAGCTCTGTGATAAACGCGTACACACTGCATATTTCTGAGCGTTTTATTACTGTAGCTCTTTGTGATAAACGCATACACACTGCATGTCATTGTGAGTTTTAATGCTGTGGAGCTCTGTGATCCTATCACACTCTGCATATAACAATGCATTGTATTGCAGTGCAGATCTGTAATACACATAACACTCTGCAACTTTACACAGGATTGTTTGATAAACTCACATCTAGCGGAGACTTGCACGGCTGCTGTTATTCTAGTTACAAATCACCAAATACTGTATCTTACTGTTACCTGAAAGGTTACTCAATAAAACATTTTGTGATTCAATAGTGCCCCCATTAGACCCTTCACAGACTTTATATAATAGTGAATTTAAATAAAATCCAATGATAAAGCAGACATGGTGGGCTCAGTGCAGATTAACTGTGAAAAGCACAACTCATTCTACACATATTAATACACAGGAATCGGTATTATGGGTGATAACATTGGATTCCCAATACCCACCACTACCACCTCAAAGAGTTTTCTATGTAAAGTGTTTCAGATCACTATCCAGGTCACCTTTATAAAACGATCCATTCTTACAATATGTTTTGCAAAGTGCTTTGTGTTAAGGTCTTAATTAATCAATCCATATATCGGACAGGTGTACAAAATGGAAAACCATTAAAGAGGAAATATAAAGAGTTTACTTATAATATATCAGACACCTGTACAAAAACACATGGGTTATAAAGCCCTCATTACACCCTGAACAATTAGAGTTTTACATTTTTTTTCTATTCAAGGTACTCCTGCCGTGAGACCAATGGATTCTATACCAGGGATATCTGGCTTTCTGCAAGGTTTAAAAAACCATCTAATCAGAGATCCTGCTGTGGTTCACAGGCCGATTCCATATCCCACCATGTATTCTACTTCTCAGATAAGAGAGACACAGGAAATAGTGCTTGTCGGGTGCTATGTCCAGTGATTAAGGGCTGTTGTATATCGAAATGGCCCACACAGACTGGCCTGAGAGAAGGCCCAGCTCAGCTGGCCAAGCAAGGGAGATGCCAACCCATACCAGCAGAGAAAAAGAGGGGCTTAGCCCACAGAGAGAGGGTCAACCTGCCTTGTCCTAGTGAGAAAGGGGGTTAGCTTGCCTTGGACTTTCGAGAGAGACTACGTGGCAGGTACTGCTGCTCATGCCCTAAAATCAGGTAGAATTTCTGCCACTTTCTTCCTTAGCAGTTCTCTTCGTTCCTCCTTCAACTTCAGTTCTCGCATTAACTTTGGAAACTTTCTCCATGTTCTGAATGCTGTCAGCAGTATTCGCCTGAAAGATAAGTGAGCAGACAGCAATGATTCATGATCAGTACACTTGTAGGTTGGTCAGTGTGTACTCTATGGTTTCTCAGAAGGTAGAGTCTAGCCCTGGTCACGGTGTACCCTATGGTTTCTCAGAAGATAGAGTCAAGCCCTGGTCACTGTGCACCCTATGGTTTCTCAGAACATAGAATCTAGCCCTGGTCAGTGTGTACTCTATTGTTTCTCAGATGGTAGAATCTAGCCCTGGTCACTAGGTACTCTATGGTTTCTCAGCATGTAGAGTCTAGCCCTGGTCACTGTGTACTCTATGGTTTCTCAGCATGTAGAGTCTAGCCCTGGTCACTGTGTACTCTATGGTTTCTCAGCATGTAGAGTCTAGCCCTGGTCACTAGGTACTCTATGGTTTCTCAGCAGGTAGAGTTGTGCCCTGGTCACTGTGTACTCTATGGTTTCTCAGCATGTAGAGTCTAGCCCTGGTCACTGTGTACTATATGGTTTATCAGCCAACAGAGTCTTGCCCTGGTCATCTTGTACTCTACGGTTTCTCAGCCCTGGTCACTGTGTATTCTATGGTTTCGTAGCCAGTAGAGGGGCATGTATATAAAGGGACACTATAGTCACCAAAACAACTTTAGCTTAAAAGAAGCAGTTTTTGTGTATAGATCATGCCTCTGAAGTCTCACTACTCAATTCTCTGCCATTTAAAAGTTAAATCACTTTTGTTTCTGTCTGTGTAGTCCCATCCACACCTCTCTGACACAGCCTGCATTAAAAAACTTTTTAATTTTAATTACACACAGGGGGCTCCTGCAGGGTCTTGGAAGCTATTAACAGTTCAGGTTACAAGAAATTCAAAATTAAACATACCATGCAATAAAGGAAGTGTAAACATTAGATGACTCTTTTCAGGAAGTGTTTAGTAAGACTGTGTAAGTCAAATGCAGGGAGGTGTGACTAGGGCTGCATAAACAAAGTGATTTAACTCCTAAATAGCAGAGGACTAATAAGTGAGACTGCAGAGGCATGATCTATACACCAAAACTGCTTCATTAATCTTAAGTTGTTTTGGTGCCTATAGTGTCCCTTCAATGTTAGTATGTTCCTTTACAATGTATTTGTTGCTTATGCAGAAATCCCTTGTGTTCTGATATAAACATATTAAGAAGCCTACCAATGATAAGATCACAATACAGCATATACAAGGTAAGGTAAACATAAACTGAACAATGTCGTTTGTTTCTTGCATTTTATCCAAATTCAAAGAGAATTCTAAGATCTGTTTATTTTGTGTAAATGTAAGAAATGTTTGAGCATTAACAATGAACTCTTTCTGTGGATAATAAGTACCTACCTCTGGTTATGCTCTGCTGCAATCCTCTGCTTTTCCCATAATGCCATCTTCTCTTCTTGGGCCAAGTCCAGCCATGCCAGAAATACCTTCCTGCGGAGCATGGTCACATGGTGCCTCTCTGCTCGTTCTTCCAGGATGGACAGGTAGTCCTTGTACTGTGGACACATGAATACTATCATTGCAGAACCAAGGGTGACTGGCTTCCAGGCTCCTCAAAACACGATTCCTGGACCCTTTAATTCTCATACAGTACCCCCAACAACCTTGTTAACCACTTTGGGTTTTATTCACCAAATAACAGGGAATTGGAAAACAAATTGCAAATACAGACGATTTGGAAAAAGTCTCCAACTCATGTATAGCCACAGCTTGGCTATTTTAGCATTAAAATTATTTTTCACTTTACGATCATTCATTGTTTAGTGGATAATCCTCAGTGATGTGTGAAGGACTCCCTTGTTACTGAAATACAAATCTAAGAAAATGGGTCTATGAAAAATCTGTTACATGTAGAAGGAGTACCCCTGTATAAAGCTGAACTGGAGAAGATTTTGCAATCTCCCTGTACTTGGGTTTTAGTATAATATTCATCAGACACCATAATGCATTGATATGAACATTGCCGTCCGAATTCCAGAACAGGACAGGTTAAACACAAGGTAAAATAAATCTATTATAACCCACTTCACTGGAATCAGAGTAACAATAATGCTGTATAATTTAACAGTCGGTTTTCCAATATGTCCTGGTGATTAGATAATTTTATTACCCAGCATAATATCACTTATTATATCCACCCTGGCAGGATGCAAGGCTCTGCTTGCTAAGAATTATACCTGCCATTTGAAAAGGAAATGGAGAGAAATAAATGCTGGGACATAATTTGACGAGCTATCTCACTAATACACCTACATTGGACAGAATTAACGACTGAAAAGAAAGATTTTTTGTTTATTTCTAACTTTCTTCAGGACTGGCAGAATAAGATCTTTATCGATTACCGTGTTTGAAACCCAACACACCTTAATCCATTGCCGGAAGCTTCTCCGTAACAGTATTGATGTCCACAATTCATCGGCACGGGAGACTTTACTGGACAAAATGTCCTTCGTTGCTTGATGCCAGCCCACCAGACAACCTCTCATAATTACGGAGCTGTGATGTCCCTCTGCATGCTGCATGTAAAACATCAAGTTAAATTGTTTACATCTAAGGAAGATGGCGGCCAAGCATGGCTGATAATATGTTTATTGGCTGGATTGTATTATTACCTCCATGGCCAGTCGGGATTTTGCCATCAGCTTCTTCCAGGGTTCCAAGCCTCTGTGCCTCAGCAGGGTCTTATCATAGTGGGCCCTGGCTTTCTCCTGCATCTCCTGGTCCTTCTCCAGCCTCATCTGCTTCTCCTGCTCCCTCTGTGGAATCAGATGGTAAATAGGGTGTTACAGAGCCATCAGGAAAATAATACAAATATACAATAAATTCAAACTGCAGAAACTTCTATTTTTGGACTGGTGATTATTTTTGTGGGATGTTAATTATTTATTCTCGATTTTGGCAATTTGGATACCCTGTTATTTATGAGGTATTCTGCTGTTTTGATGTCATATGGAACTTTTTTATGTAATAAAGATGCACCATTTATGATTTAGGTTGTGGATATTACATGGATAACACACGTGGGGTGATGTATTTTCGTATTGGATTTATCCAGCACCATCTTCTGCCCATGGATACAGTGTTTCCATCTAAGGGGCTCTGGTTTTATATTTTGCAAATGTTATCCCCTTTTGGATCGGGGTTCCGGCACTAAGATTGTTTTACAGGGGATCGGTTTATTATTTACTGAGCGTGTGACCACTATTAGCCTCTGGGTGATGGGTTTGCTGAGAATTACTGGGCAATAAATGGCACCTGTCTCTGTAGTCTTTTCTCTTCTTTTCGCCTTTCTAATTGGGCCTCCCTTTCAGCGGCCTCCCTCTGCAGACGCTCTTCTTCTGCCGCTTTAAGCTGGGCCTGCGGGTAATAAGAATTATTGCGATCATTTATCACAAATACATTAACGTGAAAACAGACACAATATATAAGGATGATGTGTAATTCAGTACATAACTTGGGATCAACGAGAGAGTAAGACAAAACCTCTCACAGTGTATTAGGTTTTCTAATAGACAAATACTGGTCAAACCCACTCTTTAAAAAGCCAGCAATATTGGCTACCAAATCGGCCCACTGTACATATTTTCAGGGTTTATTCAGAAAACTATGAATTTGTGGAAAACAGGCGAGATTGTAAATTTAAGGACAAAATGCTCAAACTTGAAAATTCATCTATTATGTCTTAAATATGTCTGTTTCCTGTGTCATGTTCAACAAGACTCCAAGTTTAATTACAAAATAAGATGTGAGACCCACAATACGACTCTAGCTATCAGAGAGGACCAGAGCTGCCATTACTCCTGACGATCTCGGTTACTCCACAAAGTGAAATGTGCGTCAGGGGCCAGCATTACCTCCTGCATTCTCAGGGTGCAAGCAGCCAGCAAGTAAGGAGGGCCAGCTTTAGTTTTGGTCTCACATAGGGTTTGACAGGTAACGGCCATCTGGCACTTTGTTTCAGTACTTTGGGATGCTCCAGACAGTATCTTGTGAGCCATCTTGTGGCAAAAAAGTAAACTGCAGCTCACTCGTAATCCAATAGACAGGTATAGACTATAAGGCTAACCTATATTTCAGACTTGTCAAGGTGTGAGGCCTCCCCCTGGTGGATGACCAGCTAACAGCTGTTGCGAAGATTTGGAAGCACTATATAATTAGATTATTAGGTAGTGCTGGTTATTCATTTATTACTTTTTGACGTCTGATAGTTTGTATTTTTAAAATCAAATTTAGTTATTGCTAAACTATGTTTCATTTAACAAGAGTTGCTATTTTTATAGAAATTTTATGAGTCATTGTGAATAAATGTTAAGTGCTTAGCACTCTCTTTGTGTCCACTGGAGGCTAAAATCCCTCTTTACAAGCTCTAAAATCCATTCTTTTCCTTGTCTTTTGTTTCATATAAAATATTCTTACGGATTACGTGTATTTTATAGCTCGAGATTTATCAGCCATTAAAATGGAACCCATACATCTTACTGGAGCATCAGGTAATTAACCCCTTAAGGACCAAACCTCTGAAATAAAAGGGAATCATGACATGTCACACGTCATCTGTTCTTAAGGGGTTTAAACATACTGATCCATCATGACGGTTAAATGGTTTTTGAAGAAGAAAATGTCCCTCTGCCATAGCTCCACCCCCCGTGACCTGCGGTATTCTCTTAAAGTACACAGAAAATACACAGATGTGTAGGACCACCGACAGGGAATGATGTGGCCAGGTAACACCAGGCTGAGGACTCTCCAGATAGCAGGTCCCTCTAAACATAGTGCTGGCTGAGACAGGATTCTCACCAGTTTTTCCTCCTCCCGTCGCCGTCTTGTTTCCTCAAGTTCTCTCTTCCTTTCCAATCTCTGCGCTGCTCTCTCTTCCATTGCTGAAAGGGTAAAATACAAAGACTGAGTGCACTCTCAATCCCGGGGAAGACTGACGAAATATGTGTAATCCACTAAATAATTTAGGATCAACGAGAGAGAAAGACAAGACTTCTCATGGTGTATTATGTTGTGATCTGAAAGGTGGAGCAATCCCCACTGCAAGGATCCTTCACGTGTTTCCATGGTGATTTTTCCACTTTTAGAATTCTTCCCCACTTTACCAATTAGGACATTCTGATAAATCTCCCACATAGAGTTCTTATGCAAGATATTCCCAGTTCTGGAGTATTGCAATTCTGCCATATGTCATTGCTGCTTTAAACTATGAAGGTACGGTGGGCATCGCTATATCAGGTATCTAATCTTCTTTGGTAAAAAATAATGGTAATATTTATTTGGGACGTGTAGCAACTGAATACAATTAGGGCAAACCAGCAATTTCTCTTGTAGATTGCTGTTCAGGTTTATCTAAATAATAAAAAGATATATTAGGGAATATATATAAAAAAATATTTACTGTACACACTGAAATACTTCATAAAGGATCTGTAATTATAGGGTAGAGATCAAATACCATTGTTGTAACACAGCGGATATAACAGAATATAATGGGTCAAACAGTTTGTAAGGAAACTTGCATTTTCTGGCATTTTCCCTAAATGACAGCTGAATGTAATCATGACTGGATGCAATATACCCACATAAAGTAAATACAGCTACAGACAAATATCTTTTTTCTAAGGACATCTCTAGTGCAGACCGTATGTGATCTAATGAGCTCTCAGAGAGCCCTACCTTCCAATCCTATACCGAGATCATTTATTTCTATTGAAATCGGAACTTTGTTTCTAAAAGGACCCACTCTACAAACATAAGGCACTTGAGCAAGCTTGTAGTGTCCCTTTAACCTATTGTCTCATTTGGTAAATTCCCCTTTTATTGTAAAGCGCTGCGGAATAAGCTGTCGCTATGTAAATACCAATAATAATAATAATAATCTAAGGGACAAAGGTTTTCTATGTAACCTAAACTAAACCTTCGCAACTTAAGAAAAAGCTACTTAATAAAGTGCATGTGAGTTAGCCTGGATTCTGTAAACACTTCTATTTCTCCTTTAAGAACCAGGGTTCACATGAGTTTTATCTTGTTGTAGGTAACATTGCAATCGCCCTCTAAGCTGTACCTTTGACCACGGGATGAGGGGATATTGTGGGCACAGTGAAACTCCTTGCTGTAGACACGGTGCTTGGTGATGCGCTAGTGTTTGTTTTTCCATGATGGACAGACGGACATGAAACACTGTGAAAACACAATCATGAAACATACAGGACATTCACCAATGGAGTAAAACAGAGCACTGACGGAGATACAACTTCATTCTACCACTCATTAAACAAAACTCTTGGTGGCACAATTATTAAGAGAACGCCACATGTCTGCCACAAATAATAAGACTTGTTTGTCAAACAACCATCTTTGTAAACTGTATCCTTTTCACACCCTCACTCATCCCACCGAGAGGTGCTGGATGGGATCTGCTCTCAGGGATACCCAACTGGCTTCATACACAGGGTCACAAACGGTCTGAGACAGTCAACTCTCTGTACTGTCAGAATAATTAGAAATGTATTGGCTAGCCGAGTGATTCCTCCCAACCATTATAGAATTATTGCCAATATGTTTCTTCCTGGTAGGTAGGTGCCATGCTGGTTCACTGAGTGAAGGATGATATGGATTTTTTTTTATTTAAAAACATCATTTTTTCCCTGGTAAATCTGGGTAAGGTTAATACGGCACCATCGGAGCCGATTCTTGAAGTTCTGTCCTGGATTTGAAGGGTTTTCATCCTTCCCTCATTTTACATGAACTGCCTGCTCCACAGAACAAACCTCTAAAGCACTTCAGGTTTAGAATTTTTTGAGCTGTGATTGTCAGACTGTAATAGTCAATAGATTATTCACCCCCCAGCCACGTGCCTTATTCATCCAAACCTCCACAAATACATTTTTTATTTTTTTTGAAATACCTGATTATCGTCCATATATTATATAAATCCTATGATTGGTTGATGCTGCAGTCACAATGAAAATAAATTGATATACAAACTGTACCTGGGAGGACCTGGGTGGTTCAAGGCCGGGGGTCCTTCTGTCCCCTGGTAGTTCCCTTTCCTGGTGGTCCCCTTGCTGGACAGCTCTGTGGTGAAGGTAGTGGCTCTTGCAGCTTCCTGCCTCGATATAATCAGTCTCTGGTTCTCCATTAACCCCAGGATCATGTCCTTTTGCTCTTGGAGCTGCTGCCTCTGTTCCTCTATCAGCTGTTGCTGGAAGGTATGTCGGTTCTCAAACACCTCACCGTAATTAGGGGCCTTTTTGTTGGGGCCCCTCTGGAGCCTGGGGGTGTTCTTGGAGGATTGTAGACGGAGTTGATCCAGCTCCTCGGAGCTTAGTTCTGCATGTTTCCGTGTGATTTGCCATGCATGTTTGGGGACGTTGGGTGATTGACCAGGTATGTTCTTGTTTACGTCTCCCGGGGTTTTTTGCCCATTCTCTGATCCATTATTCTCTTCAACCTACAAAGACATTAGAGTGTTGACGTTTTTTCTCTCTGTTACAATTTATATTCAACACAATAGATCAAGGAAGTGGGAGACTTAGCCCAGTCCTATGATAAACAATGTGGTCCAAAATTCTAAGAGAGAAACAATTGCCACGGACACCAGCAGAATACTAGGAACACTCAATTACTGATTATGTCCCCTGGTGATTCCGATACTATATTAGCTCAGTGCGGGCCTCGATTTGAATACTCCCTTTTTACAGATATCCCACCACATGGCTGCACTGAGAAAGGTACTTATCAAAGTAATCATTGGGGAGCAAGGGATAGTTTAAATAAATGGTGCTGATTCATCATCTGGGATTGTGATACATTTAATTGCAAGTTTTATGCCAAAAAAAACAAGAAAAATGGAGTGAAAAATATACTCAAATGTGCAAATCCTTTTTCAGTTCTTTACACATCAAACTGAATGAAATTGAGAAATCCCCGGTGTGTACAGCTGTGTCACTATAACTGGGCCGAACACAGTCATTATATCAATAAAGGGACAGAGTCATGCTCTCCCAGGAGCCTTACAGTCACACGGTACTTTTCCTTTAACTGCTAGTAACATCCTGGGACCTCAGAGATCCTCACAGCTACACTAATACGAGACAAGGGTTACCTGGATTCCATACAGACGGCCTGGGCAAGGTTCTCTCTATTGATCATGGCCTCGCTTTAATATTTTTAGATAAGGTTTTAAATAATTTAATATTTAGAAAATGATTTTAATATGTTTTGATGTATTATTTTATTATATGCTATATTTTTTGATATTTTAGAAAAAATATCCTTTTAAAAGCTTATTCAAAAACATTTAATCTTTGCAAATGTTTCAATGGAAACCTATATTGGATAATGAAAGTGAGTGTCAGTGAGAGATGTCCTGCATGATGTGCACTCGAGCTCTGAGTACAGGATAAAACAACATGTATCATAAATAAATAAAAATAAACATCGCATTTCACTCCCATTGCATTTCACTCCACTGCTACGTGCATTTTATTTTTCCATTTATAAACCGTTGGTTCTTTGAAGTTCTGTCCGATGGTGATATGTTGCAGGAATAGTTCCACTCATTAAAGACACTGGCAGCCTCGGTATTAATGATGGGGAGGGGGTAATAAGGCAGGATTATTTTAATGGCTCCAAATTTCACAAACTATTACACTACATGGGATATAAAATCCCAAAGTTCCGTCAGATTCCACTCCACGAGTAAAGAGCACACCCTAATACAGGAGCTAATTGTTATTATAGAATATTAACATTACTGTATAAGCTTGGGACAGATATGATCTTCCGTGACCCCATGACATCCTCTAATGTGACGGGTCACGACGTATCACACGGTTACACAGTTCTGTCCTCACCTTTAGCTCCCTGGATGAAGGTCTCCCCACATCCCTCTGATCTGCACTGGTGTCTTTTGGAGTCACTAAAGATGAGGCTGCTTCCAGCAAGGCCGCCATTTTCCGCTTTGTCTCCTCTTTCTGAGCTTCCAGCTCTCTCTTGTCTTTCTCTGCTCGACACCACAGCTGCCAATCCACAAAGCAATGCCGTAGGATCCGCTTGCGGTAGCTTTCCACTGCCAGCTGCTGCTTCCTGGAACAAACAATCAATGACAGTGGTCACTAATGAAACTGGTGGAATCACATGTCTTTTAGGTAAATAACATTCCCCACACCCCAACATGCAATCCAAAACCCTACCAACATAAACAATGTCCAACCACATGTTACTCAATATATTGCATAGAACAAACCCACACTGCAAGGAGGCCCTCACCCTTGGGTTCTACCGGGGAGCCTCAATGTCAATCCCAACGTACCCCACCAAGACCCATGCCTACATGACCACCTTGCAGTACCTATTCTGATCTCTCAGGTCCATCTCCATCTTCTGGGTCTCCACTTCCAGCTTTTTGGCCCACACATAGTCTCTCCAAGCTCTGAATACCCGCAGCTGACACCTCCAGTCAGCAAGAGCCCTGGATTTCCCCATCTTCAACCGGCGCTCCAAGACCAATTTATACCAGCCAGAGAAACTCTTTTGGAGGCACTAAGGGGGGAACAGAACACATCAGCATTGCATGAACAAGACAGTGACGGGTCCATGTTAAGCATCTATCAGAACCTTAGCAAGGGGGTCAGTCTACTATGTATGCAAAATCATTTTGTTATTTATTAAACTCCAACAATGTAAAACAAAGACTGGCATAGAGTACCAATGGATTTTCCATATTAATTCTTATAAGTGAGAGAGGTGGCTGTTTGTTGGGTAGGTTACAGAGTTTGTATGTGTTGACTTGCCTTCTACAGGCTGAAACCAGACTGAAGCTAAAACGTCAGGATCACGTGCGACTGTATCACCTAGTGTATGTTCTGTGATACAGGTTCTACGCAGCATGTTCACATCCCAAAGTGAAAGATTTCTCAATGACTGTGATAAGCACAGTCTGCCTTTTGGGGATGTGAGCCTCCAGTTCACACCAGTTGACAATGGACATAACTGGAATTCTCCAACTTTCCACAATACCATGTTTAATTAATCCATCGATTAATATGCTGACTGGCGTTTTATAACCTGCTGGCAGCCAGTTACTTACTTTAAACACTGTCTTAATAGAACATACCCTGCGGTTCTCCGCGTACACCTGACCCAGCAGATCCTTAATCCTGGACTGTTTCTCCAGCTTTCTCCTCTCGTCCTCCTCTTTCTGGGTGTCCCTTTGGGTCTCCATCCTCTCCTGAAGCTTCCTGCTGCTTTCAATCTCCTTCTTCTTCCACTCACTGAATCAAAATCCAGAGGAGAAACATCATAATAATATAACTGAATATCATCAAAATTATTGATATAATCATAACTTCGTCAATCAGTTTAATTGATACAATACATGAGACGGCAAGATTCTTTAACAGTTTATCTGCAGCAGCCAAGCAATAGGTTATGTTTCAATCCCTGACAACAATGCTGCCAACACATACTGTGGGGCAGGGACAATGTGCATCACCAGTCTCTGAATTGCTGATCGTGTGCATCGTAATAATCTGTAGAGGTGACAATGTACTAAATGTTGGAGCTATGATAATATGTGTCAACATTCCGGAGCAGTGAGAATACACTTTGCCAGATTCTAGAGTAATGACAGCACACCTTTCATGAACAGTGACAATGTGGTTGTGGTATAAGCGGTATTCTCCTGGCTTTTGATTTACCATCATAAACGGACATCGTTAAATCCCAAGCTACAGAACGAGCCCTTCAGACAGCTTTGCCCATTGAAGACATGTTTTGTTCAGGTATTTCTGAGTGTCCATGGCCTCTTCCCCCACTTACATTTTCCTAACCTCATCCATGGCCTTCCTGCGCTCAGTCATATCCTTCCGGAGCTTCACCACCATCTTCTGGATTTCCTCCTCTTCTTTCTTGATCTTCATGGCCTTCTGCTTGGATTCTTCCTGGACCATCACCTGAGCCTGGGCCATTGCAGCTTTCTTTAAGGCTTTTTCTTGCCTTTTCTTCTCCTGCTCTTTCTGACGCTTGTCCCGGTTCTCCTTTACCTATAAAATAGATGTTAATTGTTAAGGCTCCAAACATGGACATTGACCAGGGATACACACTGAGGTTTGGAACCAATGAGATCACAATGAGCGACGCTTGGATTTCTCTATGAAGAATTCCTAAATATTACAGAGTTTAATGTTTCATAGCCAGATACAGGACAGTAGAAAATCAGACTATAATATATAGAGCAAAATCTATCTATTGTATCTACCTATCGTATCGGGTTTACTCTGCAAGAACCTATACTTCACAGGTTTATTTTTTATATATATATACACAATAAGAGACTATTCAGAAATAATTCAAAAATTACTTAAAAGTGACAGTATAGGAGCCAGAACAACATTATCCTCCTGCAGTCTCACTTCTTTGCCACTTAGGAGTAAAATCACTTTGTTTATGCAGCACTAGCCACACCTCTCTACATGCAAAGTACGTAGCCTTCCTAAAGACTTCCTTAAAAGAGACATCTAATCTTTAAACTTCCTTTTTAAAAATTCTTTATTTCTGATATTTTAGAGAATATACAAAGACAAAATGTCATACAAAAAACAAACAAACAAAAATAAACCCATTAAATTAATGACGTGTATTGTTTCACAATGAATTACATTCACTTATCGCATTCAAACCAGGGGGAACAAGCAGATCTATATTCCTAAAACTTTGTTTTCTATATTGGTCCTTCCCCCCCTCTATTATCATATCCGTTATAAGACTAGCTTTTTTAAAGAATGTTAAGATTGATGATTTTATATCTGGACCATGGAGACCAAAGATTGTAATATCATTTTAGATAAATATCATTATTTAGGAAGAAACATTTCTCTATAAGAGCCTGATACTCCAATTCAACAACCCAAATTTGAACAAACCAAAGTAAATTTTATGTTCCTTTTCCATTTTTTTTTACTATATGAAATCTAAGAGCTAGTAAGATATGAATAACAATATTTCTAGAGAACACAGGAATATCTTTTATACCTATAAGTAGGAGGAAAGGGCTATGTTAGATTGAATTATATTCCCTATACAGATTCAATTCACAGCTCAATTTAAATACTTATCCCATAAAGACTAATGGGATATATAAAGTGAGCTATGCATGTAAAGACAACCTTTAGCCACTTCTCAATCAAAAAAATAAGTGAAATAAAACAAAACGAATAAGAAACGCTTGCATGAGCCAATAGAGGTGGGTGCTTCTAAATATCTTTTGATGAATGATAAGAGGTGACATAGTGCGGCCAGATATGTACCTTCCCAGGGAGACCTAAGGCAGTGTCTAAACCATGGAACGGGCTTTCTGGGGTCTTTCATCTTTAGACATGACCCCATCTTGGAAGTGGGAGATGGCAGCAAGGTGCCAGGTAGTTTAATGTATTCCTCCTGCTCACATTGCTCCAATACCAGTATCTCTTTTCTAGATTCCATTTACATCCTGTGATATTGAGGTTATTAGATCCTGTCCCATCAGATCTCTCAGTTCAGCCGGTCATTTGATACCTGTAACCCAACCACCATTATGATAAGCAGACTGAGGATTCAATACAATGAGTTCTAACAGATCTTCTCTACCTGTGAATGGTGACGCAAAACAAAGAACACACCTGTTGGTGCCGCAACTCTATCGTAAGTCTTGGGTCTCGCTGCTTCTTGCAGTTATGGTCTCTCATTAGGTTTTCTAGAATCCCAGAATCCACCACTTGTTTCTGGAGTAGATCCTGCAGGAAATCTTGAGCCTTTGTACTCTCTGCTTCCTGCTCCAGATATTCATAGAGATCTAGAATATATATCGGTAAAATATAATCAGTAATCAATAGGAAGCAAAACAACCACAGGTACAAAATGTGCAGCCATCCAAAGAGGACAATATTCTAGCACCATAACCACTTCAATAAACTAAGGTGGTTATTGTGCCTAGAGAAACACTTTAGAGGTGGAATATGTGAGCTGGTAAATTCTCCAACATGGGCAATTCTTTCACTTTGGCTATTAAATTATCCACAATTTCTATCTTAATTAACAAAACCCCATAACTTACGCTGCACTTTTTATTCTTTTTAAATACAGAGCATAGGCTTTTAGCATTGCTTGTATAGGGATCTACATTTCCCATGATACCTCATCATGTTGTTTACGTTACGTGTGCTTGGAGGGTTCCTACCGTCAAACCTGTTGTATTTCACAAAGTCTGGCTGGGGCTGCTGAGGAGGGTTTATCTGAGCTCGGACAATGTCAGGGTCTTCCTCGTCCTCACTGACCAACTCCATCTTCAGCTTGGTGCCCATCCATTCGCTCAGCAGGTCCTGGGCTGAGAGAGAAAAGCTGCACAGATCACGTTTCTGGCAGATTACTACATGTTCAAAGTCTCTCCATCTTTTTGCTATTCCATATAAAGGTATGGGGTACAGTCTGACTGGTATACAATCAACATTACATAAAATAAAAGTCTGATTTCAGCCCATCGAGTAAATAAAAATAATAATAACTTTTCCCCAATGTGATAGAGGATAAAAGATGGAGCTTATCGACAATAGTAAGAATCAGATAGATATAAAATGTTACTATTATAGCGTAATCAAACAAATCAAAAAACATTAAATAATCACCAGAAAAGAGTATTGGTCCTATCTGATAGACAGGAAGGTTATATAATGATCTCCTAAAAATGGCACATAACTTCTCAAATCCCAGTGGATTAACCCACACCCAAGGTTAAAAATTACTAAAATGAATATAAATAGCAAAAAGAGGAGATCAAATTGCTGATACCAGGAGATAGTTATTGCCACTTATCTTTCTGAGAGGGATATATCGTTACTTCCTAGTATAGACTTAATTGCATCTCCTGGTATCAGCAATTTGATCTCCTCTTTTTGCTATTTATATTCAAATAAAAAAACATGTCTACTAAAATGAATAGTGGAATGTTAGCACCATCTAGTGTCTGTCATCGGAATAGCTTTTAAGGGGAAAGTCGAAGCAACAAAATCCCTTTATGTCAGTGCAGTAATTTGCAGCGTATGTGCAGCCTAGTAAACAGAGTAATTTCTGAGACAGAGAGTTTCTAGAGGCTCCAGACTTCAATCTCCCAGATTGCAAGCTTGTTTCAGCAAGGCCTGCTTCACCTCGTGTCTGGTGCTATATAAAAGCTAATTATAACAATAATGATAATACTAATACAATAGATGAATAATTAAATCTGATAACCAGCATCAGTGTGCCAATGCCAGATGTTGATCGATTTAATGCTTCTCGTAGTAGAAGTGTCTGTTGTTCACTGACTGTTTAACATATCAAGCAAACATCGCTTTCTAGACACCGCAAGGTTTGTGGGAGTTGTTGAAACGTTCAGCTTTCTCTTGTAGTAAAGAGATCGTGTACAGCAGTAATATTGAGCAATAATAAACACGGAATACTGGGAGGGACAGACAAATAGGGTGGGAGATTTCGATTTGTGACGTGTTAAGGATTACCAATGCAGCTTAGTGTAGTGGTTATGGTAGATGAGTATTTGGGTGCAGTATTTCCAGTTCTCCTGACTCCCAAATCCCATCCCTCAGTTGCTGCTAAGATAATAAGATACTTCTCTTCCATGGCTATCATTGCTGGCCACGTCAGGATGGATAATGCAGAAGTGAAATGATTCCATGTACACAATAGCTCTGACCTAGACGCCCCAAGAAATGGTAACTGGTGACATACTCAAATAGTGAACGTTCTGAAGTCTCTATTTATCGTCACTGTACCTTCAGCGTAAGCGTCATCGTGGTCGTGAAGCTGATCCACTGACTCGAGGTCCAAGGCAGGACGCATGGCTTTCTGCCCACGCTGGACAGTCTTCTTAGCCGAGAATACTTCAGACACGGCAAACTCTGAGGCCTGTTCAACTCTCTGCAGGGAAATGGAGATATTCGAGAGTCAGTGAATCAAAGTAAAAACAACAATAAGCTGAAGAAACACCATCAAACTGGTCACCCAATGGACCTGATCCACTTCTGGGATCCAAGGTGAACTCTGTCTACGTCGCGGGACTGGACGAAAAAGAATCATTTCTTCTAATTAACCCATATAGAGTTTACATGGCATCATTATAGAAACAGCTGGACGGCACAAAGTATGCAATTAATGGACATCTAGAAATTACCTCCAGGTCACCTTAGATATTTTTAATTTTTTTTAAGTAGTTTTTTTTCCATTAACCTTGCTGCTGGTTGTCAATTCAAACTCCATGGATTTTACAAAATGCAAGACAAGAATTAAAGTTATGCAGTATGAGAGTCACTTTAATTCTCCCACTCATTTTCCCCATAGGAAAAGGTCACAAGTAAAATCATGAGAAGCAGCACTGCAGAAGGAAGTACTGTACTAAGGTGGGTTTATTCATTAATGTGGAGAGTTGTGGTGACATGCCCAAAAATGTGGCTTGTTTAAATAAAAATAAATACAAATCACTATTTAGTAGCGCTACCCCATGCAACCTAAAACATGCACATATTTAATTATGCATTTTTTTCATTGGAGATATATCTAAAAACAGCTTGTATTAGCTGCACATCTCTTGTCTGCTGCCTTTGCAATCCCTCCCCTTCTAACCCCACCCAGTCTTTCTGTGGCCGTCCAATTACAGCCTTTGTAATGCAACTGAATAAGAAGTCTTTATAAAGCAGGTGCTCTGAGCAATTGCTGCCTCTTGAGTTTATGTACACTGAGCAAACCAAACCAGGAAGTAACAGGACCTGCTGTCTGATTGACAGCCAGGGGGGCGGGGGTGGGGGCGGTGTAAACAGGTTCATTTATAACAGTGGCAATTTTTATTGAAATCTGCACTTTTTCTACAATGAAACAAAGAGGTCACACTCTGCACATGTAAAGCATTTCAGCAAGCTTAGGTGTTTTAGGAGACTGGAACGTCCCTTCAAAATAACACATGACATAAAATGCCCGCACACGTAAAAGAAAACTGGAAGACGAACCACAAGGGAGCATAAAATCAGCATTTTAAATCATAGTCTCCTGTACGGTGCTTATTGGTAGACAATAGTGTTTCTATAGTCACTTACCTTAATCCAGTGCTCCACATTATCGTAATCAAACACTGGCTGAAAATGGAAACACAGAATGAGAACCTTTCCATGCACGTTGCTTCCCCCAGTAAATTGGATAGAATATAACTTTAATTACACAGAATCACTTCCTGCTTTCCACACCATTTATAATCAGTGAGCTTTCCATCAAACACCAGGTAAAGTCACACACTGTGCTATATAAGTACACATACTAGGAATCGCTGGGCGCACTCGCACCCTGCTTGCTTTGGATACTCTGGGCGCACACCCTGTCCTGGGTACACTGGGCACAATGCCTCCCCTGGATACACTGTGCACCCTCCTCCTATGGATACAGTAGGTATTCTCTCTCCACTGGACACACTCCATTCCCATGGGAACACTGGACATGAACCCTCCTCTGGGTACAAAGGGGGCACTCCCTCCTTCGGGAACAAAATGCACGCCCCTTCTCTGGGAACACTGGGTACCACTCCACCTCTGGGTACACTAGGCACAGTCTCTCCTCTGGGTACAAACGGCACACCCCTATGGGTACAGTAGGCGCACTCCCCCCTCTGGGTACAGTGGGCACCCCGTGCCTCTGGGTACAGTGGGCACACTCCCTCCTCTGGGTACAGTGGGCGCACCCTATGCTCTGGGTACAGTGGGCGCACTCCCACCTTTGGGTACACTGAGCGCACCCTATGCTCTGGGTACACTGTAGAAAGATAAATATGGTAGTGTTATAGTAATTCAGATTCACCACTAGGTGTCCTACTCATTTCGTCTGTGTTAGGAACTTCCTAAGGGACTTCACACAATCAGGTTACTTCCTCTTGGACGTCACACTGTCAGGTTTGTAACCTGACAGTGTGACGTCCTTGAGAAGGTCCCTAACACGATCGAAACACATAGGACGCCTCGTGGTGACTTTGAATGATTACATCCACTATTTTAAACCTATCTGTAAGTCAATAAATTGTTTTTACTACTTACTCTATTTACACTACAATTTTATTTCCTCTCTCGAGTAGATTATCTTCAGCCAACATATGGTGACATGAAAATATCCAGAAGGCGAAACCCTTTGAGGGGAACAGTATACAAGGTATTATTTTACTCCATTGAATTTGTGACCATTTGGAATTGTACGATTATCCACACAGTTTTACGCTATGTTATTTATTGCTTTCTGTTGGTTTAGCAGATATTGCCCAATTTTGGTATAAAATGGGGGCTACTGGTGCCAATTCATACAATACACAAGATCCCCTGGTTATAGAGATATATTATATACACATACATACACACACACACACACTTCAGTTTATATATTTTTCATTCATATACATATGTTTTTCTATTTGTTTATGACAGAGGTAAACAGATTTTCTCTCCCCTTCTGGCTGGTATATATATTTTGTATTCCTCACGCTCAGGTCCAGTCTGTGAGTTTGAGGGTTCTGCGCAGTATCTTAGCTGAAAGTCCAACGGTATCTTAGCCCTGTCATTCTCCACTACCCTTTGTGGTATCCCCCATCTCGACTGAGGCAGGGCCAGCCCATATTTGATGCTGAAGGTTTAGTACACAATCCCAGCCACTTGGCTGTGCCTCTCCGTGTATACTGTTCATACCAACATCTTGCATGCGGCTACTAGGTGATGGACTGTCTCAGAGGCCTCTTTGCACAGTCTGTACCTTGCCTGGTGTGGTAGATCCCCACTTTTATTGATCTGGTGTTGAGTACCTGTTCCTGAGCTGCTAGGATTAGTACCGCAGTGCTGTCATTCAGTCCTGCCTCCAACCACTGGTAGGATTTCGTAATGTGAGTCACATCCACTACCTGCCGGTGGTGGAGATATAGAGTAAGGCTATCTCTACCTGTTTGTAGTTTCTCTGACTGTCTGCAGTCAGGTTGTGAATTAAAAGCCGTTCACTCAGTATTGTTGGGGCTGAGCTGTACGCATACCTTTGATAAAGAAGTCTTACTGGCACGAGGAGGCGCAGCATTCTACAAAACATTTTTTATTTTGTGATAAAACTATAAAGATTTGAGTATACAAAAAATACAACATATTAATAAGGCCAAAATCTAACAAATGCATTAAAGTTGTATTGGTAATCGGAGTGTCCCTTTAATCTCTTGCAAAAGATTTGTTTTTTTTAAATGCCATTATCACCATTTATCAATGAGTTTTAGTAAGTATGTGGATTGGCATTGGAGCTTTATATTTATAAGAATGTATCAGTTAGAAACTTTGTCACTTTAATACTATAATGATGTATTGCTGTGTATCAGGTTAATTGATTACTTGAGTCCTATACATGGTTCTATTCTGTACTTGCTACATGTTCATGTCTCGATAATGTCCTTACGGCATGAAACGCGTAGACTGAGTATAACGCTAACGGCACAGTTTATTGGATGGAGACAGGAGGTTGGTGTGAGTTTATAAGTGATCATTAACTGCTTGTCCTCTTGGAAGGGCTTTATTTATGACGTATCTGCCCATCTGTCCCCATGGAAGTTTTAGTACATCCCACCTAGTCTGCATTTTTTGCCACGATTAGGTTATGTGCTATAGGAGATTTTTGATAAATTGTGTATTTATTTATGTTATATTATTAGGATAGTGTGTGCTAGCACTAACATTTTTTAAATCTTTCTGTGGATTCTCTAGGTAGTTACTCACCCTAATGTTTTAGGTTAGCAGCTTTAGTGATAACAGCTATACTTTATTTATTTTATATATTTTTTGCAGATTTTTTTTCTTCTTCTTAAATGGGGACTTTTTATAGTTGATTTTACTGGGTACAATCCGTACTCTGGGTACATTAGGCGCACTCCCTGCTCTGGATAATCGGTGAACACTCCGTGTACACCCTATTGCAGGTATACTCCATACTGTGGGTATACTCCATAGTTACTCTCTCCATACTCTATATACTCTGGGTACTCTATAGTTTCTCTCTCCATACTCTGGGTACTCTCTCCATATTCTAGTTCAGCTGTTCCCAAAGTGTGGGTCGCAGGGCGATTCCCAATGGGTCGCGCTGACCCACACATGCAGGGCCGCCGGATACTCAGAAAGGCAGACTGATTAGTCGGGCTCTCGGTCCGTGACTCTGGGTACTCTCTATACTCTGGGTACTCTCTCTGGTCACTCTCTCTATACTCTGGGTACTCTCTCCATACTCTAGTTCAGCGGTTCCAAAAGTGTGGGTCGCAGGGCGATTCCCAGTGGGTCGCGCTGACCCACACATGCAGGGCCGCCGGATACTCAGAAAGGCAGACTGATTAGTCGGGCTCTCGGTCCGTGACTCTGGGTACTCTCT